AAGGTTGTAGGAAGGCCAAAGGGGAAGATCTTCCTCCAAGCTGGTTGATGGTAGCTCGGGGGCCGCGGCCCGACTGATGTTGGTCGGGCATCGTATATATGAAGAGTTAGCCTCCGAATTTCATTTGCGCGATGTAGGCTTCCATACTATTATTGATCGCAGTGCAGGTAACGTCATCTCTTGAGGTTGGTGAGTAATGATTTCCTACATCCGTTGTATATCTGTGGGGCATATAGATATCGCCGCCACAAGGTTGTAAACCACTTCAAAGCAGTTCCAGATTTATGGCAATTCAGGCGGCGCTGTGTCCCAAGGATCCCCACAAGATGGGCAATAAAACTAAATTTCGATGGGTCACCAACAAGAAGCAGAATAAGAAGCAGCAAGAAGGCAGCAGAACCAGAAGAAGTCGTCGTTAACTTAAAAATAGAGGTGGCCCCCCATTTTCTTTATAATTTTATCTTTATTTGGGAAACAATCAATAAAATAACACTTATACCTAGATCTAACTAACAAAATATACACCAGTAAAGTATTCACTATACTATATATCATATAAAGAGGTTCAGGTTGTTAATATCGAAAAAGAAAAAAAAAGTTTACATCTGTACCAATAAAAATAAAAAAAAAATATAAGTTATGTAGGTAAGAAATTTATAATTATGAACTATTTACATATTATGTTTTTTTTTTTAAGCATTTAACTGCTAGATGTTTAAATCTAAATAAAAGTTTACTAGAAAAAGTATTATATAATCTCTTATCTATTAGACAAGTCCGTCCGTCCGTCTGTGGTGCTGTTTCAGCGGCCAAACCGTAAGAGATAGATAAAGAGAATATTTAAGTTATAAGTTAAGAATAGTCTGATAAGACTACAAACCGGATTTGAGTAACGTAGCGCTTCCGATTTTCGAGAAATCACGAATTTCAAACGAAACCACACAAAATCTCCGAAGTTCTCAATTAATTAAATACATTTTTTTTAATCAGGTTTTGGTCAACATTTGGTTCACTGGTTTGCTAGTTATTATATAATTGCTATTTCTTCTTTCAAATGTTTAATACTTGAAAAAGTATTCATTTGACATTATGGGTTACCTACAATGCGAAGAGATGGCGCTGTCTTGCAGCTTAAGGCTAGGAAAATTTCGACGCGGCGAATAGGGCCGTGGTAGCATAATGGTCAGTGCATTCGCCCGGGTGCGAAGGGTGCGGGTTCGAGTCCCGTCCGCTGCCTGGTCCGCGTGGATCTTTTTCTAGTAAACTTTTTTTTTTATTTACATATTAACTTTCTTTGCCCAAGGGCCCAGCATTCAAGTCAAGTTTCCCGGTGAGCTCAAGCTTTCTTGTGCAATTTATGACCATGATCTTAATTTTGGAGCTGTTTATCAAAAGTCCCAGTTCTATGCTAATGTTGGTTTGTTAATGCAGATTTGTTTTTCCTATTTCGTGTAATTTTTGATACACAACATTGTCGTGTTTTCTCGCCGCCGACAGAGGTCACATCTATCAGCGGTATTTTAGACTATCGGCCCGCCCTCGCTTCGCTTCGATGTAGAGCTGAAGTGTAGACTACAGTTTTTGTTCTCAGGCTTGTATTATACACAATGACATTCATCTATGATTCTTCTTATACCGGCATGCAAAGTCTCAGCCCGATCGGTTTAAAATTGACAAAGTTTCATACAAACTTTCATTCTCTATTTTATTCCCTTGCGGGTAGAATTGATCAAAATCCTTTCTTAGCGGATGCTTACGTCATAACATCGACCTGCATGCCAAATTTCAGCCCGATCCGTCCAGTGGTTTGGGCTGTGCGTTGATAGATCACTATGTCAGTCAGTCACCTTTGAGTTTTATATATATAGATAGATTTATTTATATTGTGTTTTGCTAACCTTGTTTTCTTGGGGAATTATTTATAGAAACTCTACATTTTGGCATTTCTCGGAGCACTTGGTTGGCATGAGCCCTCGGATGGAAGTTCTATTCCAATTAAAATGAAAATCAAAAAAGGAGTCGTCAGATAGGGATGACTCCTCATAATGTGAAGATGATTCTAAAAGTCGAGATCCGAGTGAAGAACCGCCTTCTCATCACAGGGCGTTAGTGATCGAAGAGGTAAATTTTGTTGAAATAAAACAATTGATTTCGGATCAATCAATAAAAAATTAAAAGCTCATTCAAAAGTCTTTGTGTTCACTTTAATAATAAAATCTTATCATCATAATACCAGAAAAAAATCCACGCGGACCAGGCAGCCGACGGGACTCGAACCCGCACCCTTCGCTATCCGGGCGAATGCACTGACCATTCTAGATTATATAAATTATGCTAGAAACAATTCCGCGTCTCCGGTAAACGCCAGTGGTTTAACGTGTAACGCGATGGTCCGCGAGCATTTTTTTTCTAGTTATATTTTCTTTAGATTTAAACAGCGAGCAGCGAGCTTTGTGTCTGAATGCGAGAAATCTATGTTTCTTTGAAGCAATACTTAGATAAAGACAGTTTAGCTTGATGTCCAGTCAGGCAATCAGTTTATTTATACACGCTATCTTCCAAAAAAACTATTTGTACAGATCCCACATAAAAAATGAAAAGGGTTTCTCGCGCTTTTTCCTTTTGAATACGTAGATGAAATAAAATGACAAAACTGTGTCCAAGGCGAAAACAAGAAGGAATTATTTGTTACCAATTACTTATATCTAAAACACTGACGCGAAAGTTTAGCGCGATTCATCATGGTACAGCGACATCTAGTGGCAAACGTTATAACTATTATTCGTATAATATATTTTTAATGCTTATTCGAACACTATTTATTCGAAATACTTATGCTTCGATCCCAAAAACAAAACTTTTACGATCTTTTTTTTTTTTTTTTTTTTATTGTTTAGGGACTTTTGGACCTAAATGTCCATACCAGCCCCAACGTAACCTGACCATACAATTTTCTTAAAATTATAAACTATTACATAAAATTTTTGCTGCCACATTGCCAAGCACACCAGCCTCCTCGATCTCTATACAGAGTACCAAACGTTTGATTTATAAAGACTCGACCAGTTTAACATTCATCTTTTTTACTATAACACCGCGCGACATTTTTGCTAAAGTACCTTTACACAATAAAGTACAGCCACGTGCCTGCATACGTTTTGTTTACACTCTTATTGCGCCGCCATAAGGTCGGACTTGGTGTCTGCAAAATTTAAGATTTATTACACATCAAAACAAAGAGTAGGTACTGAACCATTTTCAAGTTCGTCAAGTGACCGCTCCGTATGACTTGATTCAGATCATGCGAACGTCAGACGCGATACGTTACTATATAAAGCTCAGCTTCCTACGTCTTAAACATTCATTCTTTGAGTGTACTTCCTATAGAACATAATGGCAGCTAAGGTAAGCATTCATTTTACACCCGAACATAAAGATTCCACTGTTTCTTAGGTACACTTGCACCAAAGTTCTATACTCGAGTTAAGGCTTATAGTGTTGGGAAGGACGCGAATTGGAAAAGAGTTTGTAAGAGTAGCCTCTTTTTTGTACTGAGCCAGTACAATGTCTCACTTTAAATGAGGCGAGGTGTATTGAAGTGCGACAATACATTTGAGTACAAAAATGACATTTAAAGACAACTCTGCTTTATGACATTAATAAAAACTCGCAATTTCTAAAAACTTTCTTCTCTTCTTTCTTATTTTGATCATAAAATAAAAAAAATGTTTTATGGCAGCAGAAGACACGTTTGGATACAATTTGTATAAAAAAATATTACGAAATCGAAATCTTGAAAATATTATAAATGCCATTACTAGATAATAACTATATAAATATTATATTTGAACTATTTTGTATTTACTATTTTTTATTTTAAAGAATCATATCAGTAAATTCATCAATTTTATTTACGGATATTAAAGATATTTAGATAGTGCCGTGCACATTTGAGTAAAAAAAATCGCGTAAACGTAATCGAACGTATTTCAAAACGAAACGAGTAAATTACGCGGCAATATGAAATGTATTGCCTCGCTCTCTCTCAGCCTGTAGTTTACATACAGGCTGAGAGAGCAGAGAGGGAGAGAGGCAGATAGAGTGAGTAGCAAATCGCAACTGTCGCGACATAAAATATGAAGTAGTACATTTTAACATTTCGAGGCGCTCTTACATTTTTACGTCATGTCCGGGACGAATGTACCGCCTCTTGTAAGTCCTACACAACACTAGGCTTAATCATGTTAAGCACATCGCTCCATCTTTGTCATTGTTAAATTTGAAAAAAAAAAATACAATGCGGCTTAAACTTGGTTAAACTCGAATTAATAACTTTCATGCAACTGGGCCTTATACTCTGTGTTAACTGTAAACTCCCTTAAAGAAAGTTTTACCCGAGATTTTTTTACGATAATTAATATAAATATTCTGTAAAAAAAATTAGTACTAAAGAGATTATTATGATTAATAAGTCGTTGTCAAGATTTTTTAATTGCCTTCGAAGGCAGACGAGCGGCCCAGCAATGCCAGTGACACAGGCATGCCGCTATTTCCATAGAAAGGGGTATTCATTGCATAATTTTACTGATACATTGTTTTAAACTTTCATGGTCACTAACATTATAGCTATTAACGGGATTGTTACCATGTACCTTGTTTGAGTGAATAGTGAGAATGTGACCAGTGGTACGGGTATTGAGCGCAGTAAAAGACGACGTCAGAGGGTAGACCGATATGTCTGCCAATAACATCTACCCGCAATTACTTCAGTTACTCCGTAATCATGGCGCTTGTAACAGTGCCGAAATATCGGAGACTCATAAAAAACAAGGTACATGGTAACAATCCCGTTAACAGCTATAATTTTACTGGTCCGTGATATAAAAGATCTCTGGAAATGAACAGTAGTAGATTTCAATGATAAACTCGACTCGTGAGGGGTAGTACGGTGATAAAATACTGCTAAGGGGAAACTGGACCAATTATTAGGAGCGCTCACCATGAAAGAGCCTGTAGAATATGTATGGGCGACCGAGGTCCTCGCGCTGTTCTATCGGCATCAATCAGATTTTCCGGGAGCTTGGTATCATCTGAGGAGCTCAATAGCGTAAGTGGTTAGCGCGTTCGACTGCGATCGTTGAAGTTGAGCAACTTTCGCAGTGGTCAGTCATTGGATGGGTGACCAAAAATTTTCTATCTCGAGTCCCTGCGTTCTTCGGAAGGTACGTTAACTCGTTGGTCCCGGCTGCATCTGCAGTCGTTAGCACCCGCCAATCCACATTGGGCCCGCGTGGTGGGTCATGGCCCAATCTCCCTATTAAATACATAGGGAACGCCTGTGCCCCAGCAGTGGGGACATTAATAGGCTGATGATAATGATGACGGTATCATCGAATTATTCGGAATTAATTATTATAACGCTCAGCCCACTCAGTTGATTAGGTTCGAAGTAAATATGTTAGCTGCCTAATCAACAATCTTTCAATGATCTGTTAGAAGTTGTTATTTTTCTTTACAAAAAGTTTACGTCTAATTTTCTAAGAATCCATTATTGATGGGTAAACATAAATTAATGGGAAAATCATTTGATTAAGTTATGGTAGTACATTAAAGGAGGTTGTGTTAAAAGCATGTTAAAAGCTTTCAATGGGACGATATTGATTTAATCAAAAAGTATAATTACACAGAGTTCCTTCTTGAGTTCATTTGATTTTGTTATTTAGAACAAGGTAATTAATTAACAACAACAAAACAAAAAAAAATCTAATGTAATAAATTCCATTATCTAATTGGAAGAGTCAGGTAGGTAGATACATATAAATGTAGCTTGGAGACAAGAAACTATTTATAAAACACTTCGCTTTTGGCTTAAACATTGAATCTAGATACAGTAAAGTCAAGTCTGTTGTTCTAATCTCTCGGATATAATGTTAGTAAATTAGAATTTTTTATTAAGTTATTCCTTTAGGATAGTTCCAATAATCTTCCTCTTATCTAAAAGAATCTCCTCTTCCAGTTGGTCGTAGTGTTCGCAGCCCTCGTAGCCCTAGCCCAGTGCTCAGTGGTGCCAGTGGCGCGAGCAGACGCCGACTACACGAGCTTCGCGTACGACGTGGCGGACCCCAACACCGGCGACTTCAAGAGCCAGGTGGAGACGCGCGTGGGTGGCGTGGTGCAGGGCCAGTACTCGCTGCTGGACGCCGACGGCACCAAGCGCACCGTCGACTACGCCGCTGACGACCTCAATGGGTTCAACGCCGTCGTGCGCAAGGACCCCGCTGTCGTAGCCGCCGCACCTGTCGCTGTAGCCGCTGCCCCCGCGGTTGTCGCTGCCCGCGCAGTCGCTGCTCCCGCTGTCTACGCGTCTGCTCCCTCTGTCTACGCTGCCGCTCCCTCTGTCTACGCTGCCGCTCCTTCTGTCTACGCGGCCGCTCCTTCTGTCTACGCCAGCGCTCCCGCTGTCTACGCCGCCTCTCCTTCTGTCTACGCCGCCGCTCCTTCTGTCTATGCCGCGCGCGCTTATGCTCCCTCTCTGTACTCCGCCTGGTAAACACGACGTGTTGGAAGCTCTCTGAGTGATGTTCATTGTGTTTTTGTAAATATGTATTTATAAATATAAAGTGAAACTACCAAATATTGAAGTTTTATCTCATCCTGTTTAGCGACATAGGAGAATGGCATTCGGTTGAAAATTTTAATGGTAATTTTAACTAATGTAATTTCACTATTAACAAAACGGAAACATATTCAAGAATATGAACAATTCAATTGTAGAAGCCACATTTCAAATCAAGAGTAATTAATCAAAATTTTGCGGTGGTCATATATTAATCAAACTTAAGGTTGACTTATATACTTTTCCAATCGAAACTATATAGTAGGTAGGGCTTAAAATTCACCTTGGTCTTAAATGTTTATAGTAAATTAGATATTTTTTTATTTCCATTTTTTAATTAACTCATCCGATCTCCCAAACTTTAAAAAATAAATAATGATGTTTTAAAATATTATGTCCCGATTAGAAGCTGACATCAAACTATATGACTACAAGGATACAAACACGTAGCTTGTGGACATTACAGTATTTTACTGTAGTAAAATGTGTGGGCCATACATTGAAATATTGACGAAAAAAGTTAACTCATCAGCCTACGCCAATGAAGATACGCCAGTTAACTGGCGTAGATATTTATTTGTGTATCACTAGTCCTCCCTCATCATCATCAACTCAAACAATAAAATAATCCATAAACATTATCAACATTGTTACAAGAAGCGAGGACTCTGCTAGCAAAAAGAAAATCCTAGAAGGTTGTACCTTATACATGTGATTACAGGACAGGTATTAATTTATTCCAGAAATCCCCACTGATATATCTCCCACAAGTGGAGATTCTTACTTTTTTCATGCAATCCGCACTGAATATGTAAACAAAGTTTTGTGGGGGTTATTCGAAAAAAAGGTCCAATTATACCCACCAGTAGTATCATTTATAATTTACAAAGATAACGTTTAAAGTTTATGGTATTCTATCTTAACACTTTCCCTTATTTGCCAAACCCCAAATTTGGCATGTTTTATGGGATACAATGGTAACGATTTTACTAAAACACGATAAGCATATTCTAGAAATAGAATTTAAGCAAAATCTCTTAAACCATCGGAATTCTCGGAGTTGATATTTCGAATCAAGAGCAACTTCGAGATCATTTTTTAAGGAAAACCAATATAGCTTGCAAAAAGCTTAGGGTGCCCAATAGAGCGAGAAAGTAATTCAAACTTATCACCGGATGTTGTTATTTAAATATATTTAAGCATTCAACTCCTAGATGTTTTAATCTATATGAAATTTCACGCGGACCAGTCAGCAGACGGGACTCAAACCCGTGTTCTACTATCTACAATGTGAAGAGATGGCGCTGCCTTGCAGCCTAGGAAATTCTAGAGAAAATTCGACACAACCATCATCATCAACCTGCGGTAGCATAATGGTCAGTGTCATCATTCCGTCCGAGTCCCGTCTGCTGCCTGGTCCACGTGGAATTTTTGTAGTAAAATTTTCTTTAGATTTAAATCGGTTTTTGTTTTATAAAGCACTAGCTGACCCAGCGAACTTCGTACCGCCCTAAAAAAATGGGGGTTGTCCAGCGGACAAAATTGTGAATCTAAACCATTCTCAGATCCCCTTGAACACACACAAAAAATTTCATCAAAATCGGTCCAGTCGTTTAAGAGAAGTTCAGTGACATACACTCTCACAGAAGAATTATATATATAAAGATAGGTCCGCGTGGATTTTCTTTGGATTTAAACATCGAGCAATTACAAGCTTAAAAAATTAAAATTATCGTCAATTATTTTATCTTCTTTAATAATTTACAATTTATTTTTATTTATTTATTTAACTCTCCTCCGTTTTCAAATACATTTTAAACACTTATTGTATAATAACCTTATGGTAGTTATTTAATTAGCTATGTAGAACTTTGTGAGAGACTGACGCCTAAACTAAGCATAAAAATGCTTGTATATCAGGTCATCAGATTCCCACAAAAAGATGTCGATTCATTATATATAAGGAAATAGACATAGTTTTGACGTCATTAACATTAGAGTCATAAATATTATTAACTGTAAGCATTATTTCCAGGAACAGAGAAGAAAACAAAAAAATAAATAAACAGGAAATCACTAAAGATACCACTTAAAAATAGTTTAAAAGAATATACCTACGTATATCTATGCCGTGCAAAACATTTAAAATTTTACATATGGATAATCTAACTCAATGCAATTAATATTACCTATCTACACAAACAACTATGTTCAGTTTGTCTATAAAGTCGTGACATTAAATGATGGCGCATACTAAATAATAATAATTTATTGGCACCAAAAAATTATTTTTGTACACAGAATTTTATAAAATCTTACAATAATAGGAGAATCAATCAACTGTATAAAAATACATCTGCACCTGAACTAGGAGACCTGTATCTCAGGTGCAGCGCTCTTTATAAAAAATACAAGCTGTTTTATATACTCAACGCATACAGACATATTTTCCAGAGAAGTAACAAAATAATAAGTGTTAAGTGTAGCGAGTGAAACCTCTCATGGTGAGTATAGTGAATATGAGTGTGTGTGTGTGGAGAGGTTGTAGCAACCCTATACACTCGGAACAAAATGATTTTGATACTAGCAGTTCATTCAAGTAAAATAGGTAATTAATAAGACACACTGGATTACAATTATTTAAACTAGGACACAAATATTTGAATGTGCTTATTATATAAGATAGGTAAGGCACAGCGGAATGCCCGCTCAATTGGAGCGCCCGTCTGGTGAAACAACCTTCAGTTTACTGAAGAACACAGTTAAATAACACTACCTTTTGGTGGTATTTCGTTTCTGCTGATGAGTAGAGTTCCAAGGCTCCGCGCTTATATTGCGCTTCGTATAAATAAATAAATATTTCCAACACTCACACCAATTAGCCTAGCCCCAAAGTAAGCACTATAAGGCTTGTGTTATGGGATACTAGGGTAACGGATAGAAAACATACACTTTACATACATACATATATATATAAGTATATTTATATAGAAATACATATTAAACATCCATGACTGGAGTACAAATGCTCGTGTTCATCACACAAACATCTGCCCCCACCGGGATTCGAACCCGGGACCTCTCGAGTCGGCGACGCCATGAAACCCGGCGTACAAACCACTCGGCAACGGAGGTCGTCAAAAATAATCACACATGTAAAAACCCCTACTAGAATGAGAGAATGTAAAAGGCTAACTCATGATTTCTCATTATCATTGAGCTAGTTTCGATGTATGTATATGTTATGGTCTACGTGATTAATTGGGCATTATTCATAATGCCCGGGCAATATAAATAATGCCCAATAAGAGCGGGCAAAGTGATTATAATCAATCAATTTATCCCATTTGCGATCAATTTGCGAAGGGCTACATTTAAAAACTATAGTCTATAGTAGTTTCAATGCAGTTTGTTTGAAAATTCATTAAATCTGTTAAATGTTCAGAATTTATGGTTCCCTAATTATTAGGATGCAAGGACTAGGGAAGTAAGAACCAGTACTTCTGCCTTATCTCCGGCGCTGCGGGAATAGCAGCCCGTCCGCATTTGCGTGTCAAAGTCACAAGCATCACTCCCCTTCACACCTTCGGCTTGTTGGTGACCAGCCTCAGGCACTACGGGTCGCACGATGCTTGCGGCTTTGTCACAGCAGACGGGGGCTGCGCTCCCTCCGTGCCTCTGGGCTCTAAAAAACTCTTTAGAGGTAGGGCAGACCAAGACCACGGCGTGTCGGGGTTGACCAAGTCGGTTCTGAATTAAAGACTGTTGTAAAGCCAAATTTACCTTATTTTCTAAGTGTTGAGCCCATACCATTTTTTATTTACCAAGATCTTAAAACAAACTCAAAATGACGAGACATCTGTCATTTTGACGATAATACCAACGTTTTGAATTTATTCATACTGCCCGGTCCAAGCGATAAATTCAAGCTATCTCAAACACTGATTTATTACATGGACCACGAGCCGTCCGGCATTATTAATAATGGCCGGGCAATGTGATAAATAGGTGAGTTTATATTGTAATTAATCACTTGGCCCGACATGGCTGGGCATTATTCATACTACCCTGGCATTATGAATACTACCCGCATTAATCACTTGGCCCATAACATATATTTGTTATGCGGCTATGTGATTAAAATTCAAATTTAATTCAAAAATAGTTACAAGGATACTACTCTAAGTATGAATAATGTTGCAAATTCGTAATAAGCCTTCATTACAGACAGGATGTGCCGCAACAGGATGTCGTATCGGACAATAACTGTACAATGTTATTTACTTATTCAATACGCATTTATAGCCCCATTAATGAGGCCGTTTAAATAAATAGTGCTTATATTAATTTGAAATTGGCACCAATTAAAAATGTTACAATAATGTCAGTTTTGATGTCAAGTAATTCTTAAGTTTATCGTATTTTTATTACGAGCATTGAACATGATTTATCTGGATTTTTCTCTAGTTAAAGTACTGAGGTTTAACGCAACTTAGGTACAGTACTTATACGAGAAAATTCATAAACCACTTTAATATATTACGTGGAATAGAAAATGTCATATGATGCTAAGTGCCTCAAAAGAAAATAAGCAATAATACGTTTTAAGTGCCGAGATAAGTTCAATTGTTGAATATTAAACTTGTCTTTCTTAGCTTTCTTAGTGGGATCTGGATTTGTGTGTGGGATTTATGCCTAACATTATATACTCAGGGCCGCTTGTATTAACATGCTCTTAAAAATTTTAATATATATTCAGTTGAAACATCACTTTATCATTGTCAACTAATTCAAACGTTTCTATGATAGATAGATAAAAAGATAGAATGACGTTAAAACAAGTTTTTGTTTTAATTATTATTAAAATACTAAATAACTTAAGTGGAAGCGGCCCCACCTAATTTATCATCCAAAAATTATTGAACAAATATAATATTACTATTTTTTCCATTTGATTTTAATTTAGCTCAGTAAAGTAAAATCTGAGATTAACAATAACAAGCAATTGCTCTATATGTAGGAATCTTATATTAAGAATACAAAAAAGCTATATTAAAAAATGACTTTATTTTATACATAATAAAAATGTACAAACAACATTACTGGTAATCTATTTACAATTTGAACACGTCGTGGTTTAACTAGTATGCCTTGGAGCAAGGCTTTCGTTTACCAGTATGAGGCGGGGGCGGAGTAGGCAGCGTAGTAAGGAGAAGCCACATTGCGGGCGGCGACGATAGCGGGGCCTGCGGCGTAAGTGGACGCAGCGTATACGCTGGGAGCGGCCGCAGCGTAAACGCTGGGAGCGGCAGCAGCGTAAACGCTAGGGGCGGCAGCGGCGTAGACGGCGGGGGCAGCCACAGCACGTGCGGCGTAGACAGAGGGAGCAGCAGCGTAGACGGATGGAGCAGCGGCGTAGACGGAGGGAGCGGCAGCATAGACAGCGGGAGCAGCTACAGTGCGGGCGGCAACCACGGCGGGAGCGGCGACGGTACGCGCGGCGACTACAGCGGGAGCTGCGACAACCGCAGGGGCAGCGGCAACGACAGGCGCGGCGGCTACGACAGCGGGGTCCTTGCGCACGACAGCGTTAAATCCGTTGACGTCATCAGCGGCGTAGTCGACGGTGCGCTTGGTGCCGTCGGCGTCCAGCAGCGAGTACTGGCCCTGCACCACGCCACCCACGCGCGTCTCCACCTGGCTCTTGAAGTCGCCGGTGTTGGGGTCGGCCACGTCGTACGCGAAACTCGTGTAGTCGGCGTCTGCTCGCGCCACTGGCACCACTGAGCACTGGGCTACGGCCACGAAGGCGGCGAACACTACGACCAACTGAAAACAAAGAAACCAACTCAAAATTTAATAATAATAATAATAATTTTATCGTCTTTTTTTACATGTTAACAGATATTTAAATAATAAAATTTCGTTAAAAATAAGACAATAGGGAATGGCTCAGCCAATGTTGGTCAAGCCTAGACCTGAACCAACGTTGTTTTTCAGCCACCCCTTAACAAATTTTACTTAAAATTAATAGTATAGAGAGCCCCGAATTATCCATTATTTGATTATAATAAATATTGGAACATGTTTCGTGCATAAACGTATTTATAATTTAGAACTTTTTACTTCACTCGGCAACCGACAACCCTATATTATTACATTTAGATTTTTTGTAACAAACACTGCAATTAAAAGGGTATCACCAAACCACAATTATGAACACTTGGACAGTTTAATCACAGTAAATAACATATTTAACCTCTGTCAGACTAGATAATTGCAATAACGAACAAATAAATACAGTTTTTTACTGGAATATAGACAAGACAGCCTTCATTTAAGTGTAATGGCGTTCACACAAATAAGACTCAAACAAATCGTTTTGAAACGGAGTAGATCATGATTTGAATTTGAATTTTATTAATTTAAACACTTCACTCGCGATATTCACCTTAGCTGCCATTGCGATGAGTTTCGAGTCGAGGTACTTCGAAGAGTGAGTGCTGATGAAGCGTGTCGAGAGCTTATATATAGTGAAGAAGGCGAAGGCGTGGCTGAAGGCATGGACACTAGTTGATCTTTAGGCGCGCGCGCATTGTAACGACCATGTATCCGGAAACGCAAGGTCGATCGCACCGAAGAAATTATAAGGCTTTCTGCGTTTGAAAAGTTCAAAGTAATTAATCCATATGAGCTTCAATCGTTTCGGCTGGCTCTGGGGGCCAATCGCCTAACTGGATTGCTTTGGAAAACGCTATCGCTTACGATTTCATTTTGTTATTTCTAACCGCCGAAATACCTCACGCTCATTTTCTTTAACATTGTTATTACCAATGCAAAAGAAAAAAAAAGAGCGCGAGGCATTTGAAAACCTCAGGGGGCTAGAAATAACAAAATGAAATCGTAAGCGATAGCGTTTTCCAAAGCAATCCAGTTAGGCGATTGGCCCCCTGGTATGAACGCTTTTGTTTAAGTTACACTTTATGTTGCTGATGTTACTTAAAAAATGGATGCGTGTACTTATGTAGGCGCGTGAGAAGTTATCCTTCTTTGGCATCGTTTAAAATTACTTTTTAATTGCATGCAAATAAATAATCAAAATATTCAATTAAAATCGCTACTGAATATAATTTATTAGAACATATGTGATTTGCACTTGTATGAAACTCAAACACGTATTCCGAATATACAAACTAGAAACATGTAGATAAATATTATAAATATGAATACCTATAACTGTTACTTTATTACAATAATAACATAAAAGTAACATTGAAAAATAAAGATGTGGTTTTTGGTTCTACTACACCAATGGTCAAGAGATGGCGCTGTAGTCTCCTGAATCGCGCTTTGTTTCCGTTGTTCCAGATTAATAAATACTTTTGATAGGCCTTCACAATGCAGTCGTTAGCGCCCACTAAATAGAGATTCTATTTCTATTTTGTTGGTAGATTTTCTTAATGTGCGGTAAACACAAAAGTAAATTTTGTGTTACAGTGATGCGCGCGCATCTTAAAATTTCACTCTCATCATTTTTTCATAACGCGCCTAAAGAAGTATAACTTCAATAATAAACAAGCTATAGAACAAGTGTGTTAGTAGTCTTTGATAGCTAAGTTAAATTGCTTGTCTTTGTTTACTTGGCCATTAGAAAAATAAAAATGTATTGATCTCCAAGATAAACTAAGTTTAGATATTCGAAATCGTTTATTCAGTTTAGGATGTTGTTAAAAGTACCAATAAATGTTTTGAAGCTACGCCATCGGTTCGCAAATCTACAGCGGCAGACCTTGTTTAAATGTATATTTGGACGTTTGTTTCCCATGGCGTTGATCTCTTTGGAATATTGTATGAGTTTATTGTCCACCGTGATAAACTTTGAGCGCTGCTGGTAACTCCCCTCTGTCACCCAGTGGCGATAGTGACGCGGGGGGCAGGGCGGCAGCTGCATGCTATTATGTAGTTAAATATCTTGTGATATATTTTTTTCTACCTACCTACATTTAGAATCATGTTATAAGTGAACAATTTATAAGTGTGTTCATAGTTATCTTAAAATTGTAATTTAAATAAGTTTTACTAATTTATGATATAATATTTATAGTGTGTAGTATGTATACTTATATAGGCAACTAATTAGTCTGGAAAAGTAATGTACCGGAATGCATGTTTCAACATAAATATTGTAAGTAATACTCAATGTATTTATGGTTGTAAAAAATTATTAAATAAACGCTTTTGAAAATGAAAAAAAAAATGATCTCTTTGGAAGCTTCCCTAGCGATAAAATTCTGAAGACGAAGTAAGAATTTACAACAATTTTTTTCTGGTTGTATTTGCTTTAGATTTAAACATGAAGCAGTTACATGCTTTTAAAAAACAAAAATCATAAGAATTTACAAGCTAATATGTACTAATATGTTTTTAGAAAATGAGTCTATGAATTTCACCTACAGAACTTTAAAAAATGTAAGCATTTAATGTTAATACGACAGGCCTAAAAGATATTTTGATGGCCAATAAAAAAACTTAAGCACATCAACAGCCACATATCATAAAGAGTAGCATTACAAACTAAGTTTTTTTTTAATTAGTGTTGTTTTTGTGCAACTTTTTTTTCATAGGAACTTTCTACAAATTATAGAAAACTTTAAACAAATGAGGGATGAGATCCCTAAAGTCGCTCTCAAATTATGGCGTGACCAATGAAGAATAAGGTAAGTTTTTATAATAATAATAATAATAATAAATTTTTATTTTCTCATACCACAATCTAAATAAAACTTACATGATGCAATGGTACAATGTAGCAGACTGTGGTGGGCTGATACCTGAACTAGGAAAAATCCTGTATCCCAGGTTATCAACCCTCCACCCCAAACAATGGTCAGAAAACTTATGAATTGTATGTACTTAGTGAGATATTTTATAAACAATCATGATGGGAAGTTTTGACACACACTATTCATATAAAGAAGATAAATTCTAAATAAATAATACATTTAGGACATTTTATAGTTTAAGATTGCAATGCCAATACAGTATTATTTATCAACTTTTAATATTTTTTCTGTTGCAAGATAATATATAAATAATAAATATGTCTTTAATTAAAATTCAAACTAAAGCAAGTACAGTTTATAATATAATTGCATTATTACTTATAATACTTACTGCATAGCTAAAATCAACATTATTTACAAGAATACATAAAAAACATAGTCAAATATCACCCCGTATCGTTTCTGGCGCAAAGGTGCCCATTATGCTTGCAGCATTGCCACGCTGGATGGCAATGGACAGTCTTTGTGCCAGAAACGATCCGGAGCGAAGGTCATTAGTTTTTTGCCTGAGTCTGCGGCCACAAATTGCTTGGGCTCTGCGCTCCAATAACCCGCCGTTTCCACCGAGAAAAGCACAAAAATGTATCCTTGCCCCAATATATATTTTATCATCATCAGCCTATTAATGTCCCCACTGCTGGGGCACAGGCCTTCCCTATGGATGGAATAAGGAGATTGGGCCATGACCCACCACGCGGGCCCAGTGCGGGTTGGTCGGTTGCTAACGACTGCAGATGCAGCCGGGACCAACGGCTTAACGTGCCTTCCGAAGCACGGAGGAGCTCGAGATAGAAGATTTTTAATTGAGTTCCTCTCGATATTTTATATATAGATTTACTTACATACTTACATCTTGCGCCCATAACTTCTTTAAACAAGTTAAGTCATCCAACAAGCGTCACCACGTGCATACTTTGAGTTAGATACTTAAAGATAACCCAATTAAATTCTCCCTCATTGAGGGCTGGTCATTTCTTAAACACAGTGCTTCGTTCATAATTTATAAATTTAGCTCATCAATAATGTTTCGTATTTACTTTATTTTGATTATCATTTTATTTATTTATTTAATCTTTAATGCCTTTACATTGCATATGGCGGACTTAATACCAGCATGGCATTCTCTACCAGTCAACCGGATTCATTTTCCTAATTTGAATAATAATATATTAGAATTTGTATCCCCTTTAAAGTTGGATCATCGCTCCATATCCTTCTTTTTCAGAGTTCATTTTAAGTACATACAAAAAATCAGTATACTTTGTTAAAATCAGTATACTTTGTTCTGCTATGCTTTGCTATGCGATTTATACATTAAAAGCGTAGTTAACCACACAGACAGACACACTTTCATTAGTATTTATGATATTAGAAGGATAACTGGTGCACAGTATTTATAAGAAAATATTGCAATGTTTTCCTTGCAGATTTGTCCATACAATTACAGAAAAGGTTAGCAGTTGTCAAGCAAGCACTTTAGATACAAAAGCGATTCATAGTTTTAGAATGCTGTTAAATCATTATTATGGACTGTTATACTGGCCTTTGTAAAAGTTGTTTCGAAATGGCACTTATGGTAAGTGAATAAGGTTGACGTTCGCCTGTTGATTGTTGTTCAGCATTCGATAGTGGTCAATAATCTAGATTACCAAAGCAAAGCAAAGCAATCAAGAAGTTGAAATTTTGCAAATAATGAAATTAACATTATGAAGTAAATGACTGTTTAAAATATATGAAAAGGTGATTTCTGTTTCATTCAGTCATCATTGTCAGGCTATTAATGTTCCCACTGATGGGGCACAGGCCTTTCCTATGGATGGAATAGGGAGATTGGGCTACGGCTATATGAATCACAACGCGGGCCCAGTGCGGATTGGCGGGTGCTAACGACTGCAGGTGCAGCCGGGACCAACGGCTTAACGTGCCTACTGAATCACAGCACGGAGGAGCTCGAGATAGAAAATATTTGGTCACCCATCCAATGACCGACCATTGCGAAAGTAGCTTAACTTCACGATCGCATCCGAACGCGCTAACGAATTGCGCCATCGAGCTCCTCCATTTACTTACTGTTTCTTTAAAAGGAAAACACAATCTACTCAATTTTCAAAATAATTCAAAATTATTTGGTGCACCTAGTTAAATAAGTATTTACGCATGCAAAGATATAAATTATACAAATGAGATCATTATCAAGATAGGCATTGCGGTGTGCTCCACATTCGGGCCTCAAGGTGATCGCGCCGCGGTTCATATTACGATCATCCTTATCTAGATTATGGAATAGGCTTGCTTTTACTAAATACATACAAAAAAATACGATTATTGATTAAATTGCAGCTTAATAATGGCTAGACGAATTTCGATTCGGTCCGTGAGGGCCGCGGTAGCATAATTGGACCTCTGTGAAGTTAGCTCCCCACTTTTTGAATTTTATTATTATCTAGGTTGTTCTAGGTTGTTCTATGTTTGTTCTACATTGTTCCAAAGTATTATTTGAAAAAACTCAAATTTGAAGCTGCCAGACAAGAAAAACCGTTTTTCTATGGTAGCCCCCCATGTTTGGAAATTCAATATTTTTTTAGTTGTTCCAAGTTGTTCTAGTTGTTCCGAACGTTGTTCCAAAGTATTATTTGAAAAA